ATTACTGTCTCCTTCAAAATGACATATACCCAGCAACTGGATTCAGTTCAAAAGAAAAGGAATTGGCAAAAGCTTTTCACTTGACCTTATTTTCACTGTGCCTATGAGATTTCATTAAACCATTTACAAGAAAGTTTTTAATGGAATATGTTCTTTCTGAAAGTAGAAAGAAAAGGTACATTTGAAAGTGAACAATACAAATTTGAGCTACTGAACGTTTAAAACAAATTAGTTTGGGTATATGGGACACAACTTCCAAAGAAACAAAAAGACATAGACTGTTTTATAAACAAAGGGCATTAACCCATCAATGGTCCAAACATTTCACACACCCTCCTGGCAAGACTCAGGGAACATCCCAGAAGAGGGATAAAGGATTGTAAGAGATAAAGGTTGGGGAGGACCTGAGCAGACAGTGTCTTCTGGAGAGAATAGAGCTCATGCACCCATGAACTAGCATCGACTGTGCCTATACAAGATCACACAGTAAATGTTTCAGTGAATATGAAGTAAGGATACACAGGCACCCACCTCCAGCTAAGGAGTTGTTGAGTATTGATGGCTTCGAGAGGAAGGAGTTTCTACCACCAGATAATTCTGGAGTGTATCAAGTTGATGGGTTTTATCACATAGAATGTCAGAGAATAATATAGATAATGATAAAATAACACAGTGGCACTGATAGTCTCCCCAAAACACAGCTTAAAATGTTCATCTTTACCCATGTATCAAACCAAAAAAAGACCAAGAAGAGTTACTTCATTTAAGGTGATTGTCTGCCTTGCAAAATTCAACCTAAACTAATAGTTACTCATTATATATACTGATATATACATTGTCGTTGAAAACATAATATCTATACATAAAGAATTTTCAGCAGAGGAATCTCAAATGGCTGAAAGGCATGTAAGAAATTGCTCAACATCCTTAACCATCAGGGAAATGAAAATCAAAACAACTCTGAGATACCATCTTACACCTGTCAGAACGGCTGAAATAAAAAACACCAAGGACAGTTTATTCTGGAGAGGATGTGGGTAAAGGGGAACACTCCTCCATTGATGGTGGGAATGAAAACTCGTACAGCCACTTTGGAAATCAGTATTGTGGTTTCTCAGGAAGATGGAAATCAGTCTACCTCAAGATCCAGCAATTCTACTCTTAGGCACATACCCAAAGGATGTAGATTCATACAACAAGGACATGTGTTCAGGTATGTTCATAGCAGCATTAATTGTCATAGCCAGAACCTGGAAGTAACCTGGATGCTCCTCAATCAAAGAATGCTAAAGAAAATGCAGTAATTCATACAATGGGGCACTACTTAGCAGAAAGGAAAAACAACAACAACAATGAAATCTTGCAATTCACAGGCAAATGCATGGAATGAGAAGAAACGGTCCTGTGTGAGGTAACCCAGATATAGAAAGAAAAGCATGGTAAGTGGATATTAGACATAGAGCAAAGGTTTACCAGCCTACAAACCACACTGCCAGAGAGGCTAGGAAACAAGGAGGACACTAAGAGAGACATACATGGACCCCCAAGAAAGGTAAAGGGATAAGATCTCCAGAGTAAATTGGAAGCATGGGGAAGGGGGAAGGGAGGTAGAAGAAAGAGGAGGGGAGAAGATGAGTAGGGAGGAGAACATGAGGGATCAGGAAGACTGAGTCAGAAAAAGAAAATAAAAAAAGAGCAAGGAAAGAGATACCTTAATAGAAGGAGCCATTAATAGCTTAAGAAGAGACCTGGCACTAGGGAAATCTCCAGGAATCCACAAGGATGACCCCAACTAAGACTCTAAGCAATAGTGGAGAGGCCACCTTAAATGCCCTTCTCCTATAATGAGATTGATGACTACCTTAAATGCCATCTTAGAACCTTCATTCAGTAGCTGATGGAAGCAGAAGCAAAGATCCACAGGTAAGCACTGAGCCAAACTCCTGGAACCCAGTTGAAGAGAGGGAGGAGTAATGAGCAAAGGGGTTGAGACCATGCTGGGGAAATCCACAGAAAAGTGGGAGCGCACAGCCCCCAGTCTGACAACTGGAGAACCATCATAGGGCCCTAAACATGGGTGTCAGTTGTGGGTCCTGGGCAATCTATGGGGCCTCTGGCAGTGGAACCAGTATTTATCCCTAGTGCATGAATGGACTTTGGGAGCCCATTACCTATGGAGGGATACTCTCTCAGCCGAGATACACAGGGGAGGGCCTAGGTCCTAACCCTAATGATGTGACTATGATGATCACCCATGGGAGGCCTCAGCCTCCCTGAGGAGTAGATAGTGTGAGTGGACTGGGGTATTGGTGGGGGAAATGGGTAGATGTAAGGGAGAAGGAACTAGAATTGGTATGTAAAACAAGATCATTCTTTAATTTAAATAAAAATTAAATTAAAAAAGAAAACATAATATCTGTTGTTAAAAAGGCTCCAGGAAAAAATTGGGATGGGGTGACAGTTATATTGATGCCAAGTATGCTCAGGTTGGTTCTCAGTGAGTAGCCCCACACACTTTCAATTATGTATTGCCTCAGTAAGCCACATTTGATCCATATATTTCCTGGAGTACCATACAATGGTAAACAATGAAATTGTAGTCATGCCTTATATCTCATATACTGACAATTTGTATTCAATTAGGTTATAGATATCCTTTATCCAGAAGCACTGATTCTTGCAATCATATTATGATTTGCTTAAAAATATAATTGTTTGAAAAATAAAAAAGACAAAATTGGTATGTCAGTAAGAAATTTCCTGTTCCAGACAGGATAGTGGAAATAGTAACTATTTAACTTCTGTTCATCACAATAAACTAGTCCACACAAAATATAATAGTCGTAATAACTCTAAGGGGCAGAAGAGTAAAGGCAGAGGGGTTTGGGGGCTTTAGGATATAGATGGTGAAATGACAATGAATCTGTTTTTTTTTAAATCCTCTTTGCCTTCTATATGCTGTTATTTGAGCTTCAGAGAAACTCTCAGAGAAAAAAAATGCCGATGCCAACAACAAAACAAAATAACACCAAAAGAAAGTCAAGAACTGGTGAAATGGGTAGTCAGTGAATCTTGCATCATTGAGGCACATCCATTCATTCTGGGGATGAATGTGCAAGCCATAATCATTCTACTAGAGGCGGCTACAGAGGAGATCAATGAGAAACACCTCTCCTCAGTAGGCCTGTGGGAAGAAAGCTGTCTGCTCCCCACACTTCAGTAAACACAGAGAGCATCCCTTCTCCACTGGAGTTTGTTGTTTAAACTGACTTCCAAATCCCTGCAGGAGATTAATTTCTTCCCTGCAGAGCCTACCATTGAACTCTGACCATTATGTCCCAAAGTCCCAAGGAAACAGGAAAACTTTCTACAGCAGAAAGATTTGTAAACAGGGCACAGATACTAAGGAGAAGCCTGGGGACAGGACAGCACTTTGTTTTGATTAAAATGATGGAGACTCTGAGATTCCTGTATGAGGAAATACCATAGACACATAAGTCCTCCCTAAGGAACAGTAAACAAAAGTAAAGAAATGTGGACAAGGACTACAGCTGAGATCATGGTATTGTATAAAAGTTGATAGTCTGAAGAAGAGGAGAAGGAGGAGAAAGAGGAGAAGAAGGAGGAGGAGGAGGAAGAGAAAGAGGAGGAGAAGGAGGAGGAGGAGGAGGAGGAGGAGGAGGAGGAGGAGGAGGAGGAGGAGGAAAACATATTTGTATTGGGAATACAGTGATTCAGTTCTAGAATACTTTCTTCTGAAACATCGGGCATTGTGGAAATGGATAATTTCTTTGACGAATGGTCTCAAATGCTTAATAGTTCTTGCATGTTCACTTACAAAATGTGTCTAATATAGTTATAAAACCAGCTGTCACTGGTAGTAACTGCTTCCCCATAGCTTTTTTTTTATATTTTATTTTCCAGTTTAAATTTAGATAAGAAATGAGGTTGCTTCACAAGTCGGTTCCAGGTCCCTCTCCCATTCCCTCCCCTCCTCCCGTGCCCTCCCCCCAACCCCCCCCCCGTTATCCCCTCATTCCCCCAGGGAGGGTGAGGCCCTCCATGGGGGTGTCCATAGTCTGTCATTTCATATAGGGCAGGGCCTAGACCCTTCCCCAAGAGTTCAGGGTGAGAGTGCACCTCACATTGTTCTATGGGAGTCCAAAATCCGTGTGTATACTTGGGATGGGTACTGATCTGCTCCCCAAGTCTCAATAGATTCCCTAGGCCTCCTCACTGACACCCAGATTCAGGGGGTCTTGATCAGTCCCATGCTGGCTTCCCAGGCTGATGCCTGGGATTCAAGAGTTAACCTTTGTCTGGTCAGCTGTTTCTGGGGGTTAAACCAGCCCAGTCTTGCACGAATGCAGTCCTAGCTAGAGAAAATTATCAGGTTAATTCCCCTGAGTGTGGCATGAGAGAGGGCATCCATTAATGAGGCAGACTTTTTTTTAAAGCAGCATTCCAAAGTAGCTAATAAGCCAAAGTTAAAAGAGATAACATTTTAGTGTTGTGCTGCTCGTTTTTCATGATAAGCCAAGCTTCCTGTTAGTTTAGCCATCCAATTGACAGCTCTGCTTTCCAAATGGCACAGGTAAAGTTCAGGGCAGTTGTATGTTGCGCATTAGTCCATGGCAGCAATCACCAACAGGCTCATCATCAAAAAATGAAAAAAGGATCTGTGTTTATCATTAAGCATCGTTATCTCAATGGTTACACAAGCTCATGGGTACAGTTAAATTCCTGCACACCATTCTTTTTTCCAGTGAGCAAGGGCAATACCAGAGTATCCCATTGAACAGTATGAGTTTCAGGACAATGTTCTGCCAGGTGAGCCCCCCAGAAGCCAATTCATGTGGTTTTTTGCCTCGAGTAATTTAGAGAAATTAAACATTCATTATGAGGGATTGATCTTCAATATACTAACATTTTCTATAGACTTATTCAAAGGAGAGGTAACATCACTAATGAAAATATTTGTTGTCTTTCTCTTTACTTACTTTCTTCTCTCTGTCTCAAATCTATGGAGTAGTTTTCGAAGACCACCATTCTTGAATCCCTGAAAATGGGCAGCTGGGGCTCCCACGGTGATGACATCATAGAGAGCATCTGGAACGGAAACAAGCAAGGAGATGAGCCCTTTGCAAACATTTGTCTCCTGCATATGCTGTGCACTAAAACATGCATTCTGCCGGAAGTTTGAGAAATTATTCTGTTTCGGTCTGTAGGAATAACTATGAACTCCCATCTCAAGGGGCCAAGAGAGACTAATCAATCTTTCTAAAAGCTACCTGTGTACCTCAACAAGTTATAATATTTCTAAGATTTATGACTACATCTTAATTATATGCTGCAGTGCAGAACAGCATGTTCCCCAACCCTCTATATACTTACTGAGATAACATGCTAATTGGTCTTTTGTGTGTTTTACTTTATTGAGCTTTGCATCATTTAATTTGCAATCATATTGAAATTCAACAATAATGAACAGTTTCTCAACCAAATTTTTCAAAAACAAGAACCAAAAATATTAATTTATTTTGGCTCAAGGGCAGAACAGCACAACCACATTAAAAACACAATCTATCCTGTAATTTTCCACATATCTATTCTAGAATTTACACAATATTGAATACATGCTTTTGTAACTTCTTACACAGGAAGAATGCAAAATGTCTCAATTTATTTCCTAGTCAGATACCTTGCTTTTTATAAAAATGAATCCATACATTTAAATTGAAATTCAATCTTTTGATCCTGAATTTTATGGCTTCAAAACATGCCATCATTTTTATAATCAAATGAAAGATATCCACATTAGGAAGGCAGAGTGTATGTTCTCTGGTTGAACTATATTTTTGTTGAAGAATCTAATTTCATAGGAGATCCTTCTCAAATTGCTTTTGATATTGGTATACTGGTTGTTTCTAAGATATGACTTACTGAGAAAATATAAATCGTTTTATCAGTCTTGGGTAAATACCATTGCTTCTTCATAATTATTCAGTCTAGATCCATCTGAATTGTTATTGCTTTAAATTAGAACACTTCTACTCTGAAAATACAGGATCAGGAGAAACAAAATACAATTTTCACTGTGACCCAACCCTTCATACTGTATGGGTTTAACAATCAATTAAATGGCTGTAATAATACTTATAACATTATAATAATTTCTTAACTTTTTAAAAGTCACTAATAAATTGAATTTTAATATTTCTTAAGATTAAAGAATAATTGTTTTTTAAGAAATGCAATTATTTCATACCCCAGAGATTTTATCCTGTAGTTAAAAAGAGGAAACTCATCCAAAGGATGAGCTTTCAAAGTTTCAGAAGTGTCATGGAGACAGGCAACCTATGGACCACCATGCCCAGCATGGCAAGAGATTATCAAGGATGGGGTACTGGCAGTTGTATTTGGGCTGCATCAACACCTGTCTTATTTGACTTTAGACCTGCTCAAAATAAGGAATTCATGCCTAGCATTGAAAACCTAGACAATTTCCCAAAACAGTATAAACTCTAACTTCATTCTTAATATATAACCTTATACCCACAAACAAGAGAAGCTCTCTTACCCCTTTCTTTCCATTAGGTGGGGACCATTATAGAAAGTCACAACTGGTCAAAATACAAAGAACAACTATTATCCTTTGATTGGAAAATAAAACTTAAGAATCAAGCCCTAAAAATTAAGTATGCTCTGTTCTGCTGGAATGCCACCAACCCTGTCAGTGCACAGACTAGAAAGCACTGTATACTTACTAACTGCTGCTAACATCAACGTCTGTGTTACCCATTCATCTATTTATACATACTAGACAAACAGCAGAAACGGTAGTAATGCTGGTGTCCTTGACTTTAGGACAGAAGTATAAAACTGATTCTGGGTTTCGTTTCTTCTACATTTAGATTTATTTGTAACCTCTTTCCCTGTCATTAGGAAACTTAACTGTAATTACCAACATACAGATATAGGTGATCAACACTCCCATTCATGAGAATTAGTTTTGTTGATGACCCACACCTTTGTAAGAAATAGATTCATCCAAAAAGTTACAGCATTTGCATTCATAAAAAAACAGTGTTTCCCCAGCTGACCTGAGCTAGTAGGAGCTCACTGACTATGGACTGACAGGGAGAGGGGAAACATGACAGGGAGGGACCTGCATTAGACCAATCGAGGCCTTCTGAATGTGGGTAACAATTATGTGGCTTAGGCAATCTGTGGGACCACTGGCAGTGGGACCAGAATTTATTCCTACTGCTTGAAGGGAACTGGCATTTTGGAGGCCATTCTCTTGGAGGAATACCTTGCTCAGTTTAGATATAGGGGGAGGGGTGGCCTTGATCCTGCCTTAAAGAGATTGGCCTGACTTCATTAACTCCCCATGGTGGGGACAGCAGGCAGAGGAGAGGGAGTGGAAACTGGGATTGGTATGTAAAACGAGAAAAGATTGTTTAAAATTAAAAAATGATAAAAAAAAACAGTGTTTCCAAATGTTCATTAAGAACAGTCCTCTTTGCCCCATTCCCTTAATGAAATCACCTGCTTGAGTGTCTTATGTATCAATTATTATCACATTTACAAGAATGTAAAAATAAATTAAAAACAAAAGAAGGTAGAATGTATGAGATTCTAGGGAAGCATTGCATATTGATAAAAAGCAAGTGATGTTTGTTCTTGAAGGTGAAATGCCAGGAACCAAAAAGAGCAAGAGAAAAGAGTACATTAATTGGCTATCTAATATCAAATACTCACCCGGAAAACACACACACATACAATTAACATTATACTAAGCATATACTAAGCAGGTTGTGGTTATATCTTTAGGAAAGTGTGTGTGTGTGTATGTGTGTGTGTGTGTGTGTGTGTGTGTGTGTGTGTGCGCGCGCCTTAGCATGCATAACCACAAGTAAAAATAGGCCATGAACTTGAATGACAGCAAGGAGCAGTACATTGGAGGGATTGAAGGGAGGGGGAAAAGAGGAGGCAAAAATGATATAAAGACAATTATAATCTTCATAGAGAAAGTCTGGATAGCTAAAATAATCCTGAACAACAAAAGAAATGCTGGCAGTGTCGATATCCATGATTCAAGTTGTACTACAGATAACTGGTAGTAAAATATACATGGTATTGGTATAAAAATAGACAGGTACATCCAATTTAAGTCACAGACATAATTCAACACATCTAGGGACACCTGATTTTTGATGAAGAAGCCAGAATTACCTACTGGAAAAAAAAAGAAAACATCGTCAGCTAATGGTGCTGGACAAACTGGATGTCTGCATGTAGAAGATTGCAAATAGATCCATATCTATCATCCTGCACAAAACTCAAATCCAAGTGGATCAAAAAACTCAAAATAAAACCAGATATACAGAACCTCATAGAAAAGAAAGTGAGGAATGACTTTGAACCCATTCACACGGGGGACAGCTTTCTGAATAGAAAACCAACAGTGCAGACATGAAGGCCAACAATTAACAAATCAGTGACCATGAAGCTGAAAAGATTCTATAAGACAAAGGTCATAGTAGCCTACAGTAAAGAAAAAATTTACTAACTCCACATCCAATAGTGAAATAATATCCAAAATATATAAAGAACTCAAGAAACTAGGTATGTAAAAACCAAATAATCTAATTTAAAAATGGGAGTGCAAACTTATACAGACACTATGGAAACCAATAAGGCTATTCCTCAGTTAGGAATTGATCTACATCAAGAGCCAGCTATACTACTCTTAGGCATATGCCCAAAGGACACTCAATCCTACCAAAAGGACACTTGCTCAACTATGTTCATTGCAGATTTATTCATAAAAGGCAGAAACTAGAAACAACCTAGATGTTCCTCAACTGAAGAATGGATAAAGAAATTGTGGTACATTTACACAATGGAGTACTGCTCAGCTGTTAAAAACAATGACATCATGGAATTTTCAGGCAAATGGATGAAGCTAGAAAAAAAAAAAAACAATTATCCTGAGTGAGGTAACTCAGACCCGAAAGAAAGACATGGTATACACTCACTTACAAGTAGATTTCAGCTGTTAAGTAAAGGATAACTATGCTACAATTCAAAGATCCAGAAAGATGAGATAAAAAGAAGAACTCTAAGAGGATGCACGAATCTCCCTGGGAAGGGGAAATAGAATAGATTTTGCAAGCATCCTTGGGCTGGAGGTGACTACAGTAAGGGGGATCATGTGGAGATGTGATGGAATGAGAGAGTACAGAGAGCTGGGATTGGGGGACTTCAGGAGATTGTGTTGAGACCTAGTGTTGGAGAAACAATTCAGTAAGAAGGAATATAAACACAAGATAGAAAGCGATAGAAACGCAATGTGCATTTCTGCATTCCTCTTGGTCACATCAGAAAAATTTAAGGCTCAAATTAAATATGGTATCAATGTTTATGAATCAAAAAGGAAATAAAGTTCGGAACTGGATTTTAAATTTTAGTTTTTAAATTATAAAGGCCAAAGCATAACCAATACCCCATGATTAAGAAACTCCAAACCAACCAGGCAGTGGTTTAATCCCAGCACTACAGAGGCAGAGGCAGGCAGATCTCCCTGAGTTCAAGGTCAGTCTGGTCTACAAAGCTACACAGAGATACCCTGTCTTGAAAAACAAACAAACAAAAACAAAAAACCCTCCAAATCATCACTAGATATATTTTAAAGAGAGAAAAGACCCTAATATAGACCCTAAGCTGTCTCTCACATTTGACCATCATAGAAACATGTGAGACCATCCATCTGAATCTAAAATCTAAAACAGTGTCTCTTTCATGTTCCCGTATCTCTATGCACCTATGCCATTAATGCAATCTCTTCCACGGAACACCTAAAGTCAGTGTCAAGGTATTGAAGAAGATTTTAGGGTCTCACTCTGGCCTGTCATTTATGTATAGACAGGTATATTGGTTCTGTCTCTCAGCCAGACTCAACATTTGGAAATTTTGGATCATTATAAATCTATTCTATGTTCATGAATCTGATGGTAAATTTTTTTCTATTCATAGGTTTAAAAGGATTATTTGAACTTTTAAATTTTAGCATTGAGGCCCAAAAAGAAAAACTGAAGAAACCA